GAGGAGGAGGAGAGGAAGATGAGGAACCTGGCGTGGGGTCGGCGGCGGCACCTGATGGCTGTGGCAGATGAGCCAGAGCTGTGCTGGCCCCAGGGCTTTTCCTGGAACCACCGAGCTGTTGTTCACTTTGTGGTGCCAGGTAAGCAGGCCCTGCTCACTGGGACATCAAGGGATGGCACGGCGGGTGGTTCTCATCAGGGCAGCCCTGAAAAGTAGGTCTGGGCCAGCTTCAGCCATCTTATTTGAGTCACCTGCAGTTGCTGTCCTCTTGAAGTCAAACCTCCTCAGAAGTATGACAGGGCCCAAATTCACATGGATTGTGAGCTCCAAGAAAACTCCTGTCACACACTGGGAAAGAACCCACACTGATTCCTGGGCTCTTTGGTCCAGGTTTTATGCCTGGGCCTATTTCAGCATCCCTGCGAGGTTAGCAGGGTTTGAGGGGAGGCAAGAAACCTTGCATGTTGAGAAGCCACACTGTCTCTAAAATAAGTTTTGCTTCAATTCTCTCTCTCTTGCAATACAACCAGTGAAAAACCAGGCACGCTGGGTGCTGCAATTCATCTCCGACATGGAAGAGCTGTTCCGAGTCACTAAGGATCCATACTTCAACATCATCATCACAGACTACAGCAGTGATGACATGGATGTAGAGAAGGCTCTGAAAAGGTCTGCCTTGCACAGGTGAGTCCAAGTGAGAGTGGGTGATAGTACTGCTGGGTCACAAAAAACTGCTTGCACGCATATGCCTGTAAACACAGCCCATCTGCTCATCTCTGTATTGACCAGCCTCAGCTTCAGCCATCCACAGCTTGTACATCCATATGAATATATTGTTGTTACAATGTGCGTACAGGTGTACTGTATATGATAGTGTTATAAAACTAAGGCAATACCTATTGCAGTCATCCATCCAGATGGGTCTCTTCCCTCCTGGCTTTTGTTCGAGTTTGCAAGAGAGGAGAGAAATCAAGTCTTGCAGTGATGGGGAGGACAAAGAAGATTAGAAAGCTGTGAGAAATGAGACAGAGAGCATGGAGACCTCTGGGGACTCCACTTGCTGGAATAGCTGCCTTACTCTACTCTGATCTGAACCAGCCTTGGCTGGTCGCTTCCTTTTTTTTCCAGGGGCTTCCAGTAACGGGTCTAGTCCTAGGACAGAACTGGGCTAGAGCTGAAAAGACTTTTGTGAGGGACTGCCCTATCCTTGATGCACAAGGAGGGGAGACTCTCAGGGCATGCTGGGACCTGGGGCAGTGCTGAGCTTGTGCATTCACACAGCAAAGGCTGTCCTCCTCCTTGAAAGGGTGCATGAAGGCAAGGGCTTTTCCACAGCATGATGCCCAACGTGTGCCACTACTAGCAGTGCTTTCTGTGCTCACCAGCATGCCCAAAGTGAACTTCTCTCTCCTGTCTGCCCCCCAGCTATCGGTACTTGAAGCTGACAGGGAATTTCGAGCGGTCTGCTGGGCTGCAGGCAGGGATAGACCTTGTGACGGTAAGCCTGGGGAATGGGGAAGTTTCTAGTGTGTGTCTGGCTCTACCTCTGCCTTCCATACTAAGCGTGCTGGTTTTTAGGGGAAGGGAATAGACTAACAAACTGTAGTTAAGTGTTCTGACCCTCCAGAGTAAGGGTCTCACCCTTTATTCTGAGGAGCCCGTGGTCCATTTGGTTCTTGGTCCACCCACTGGGACTATCAGGCAGGACAGTAGCAGCTTTGTGATACCGGCTGTGCCAGGTCAACATCATAGCATTTTACACCCATCATTGAACAGACACTCAACTCTGCCAGCCCCTAGGAACTTGGTTTCTGATGGAGTAACAAATGTCTCTTTAATTCACTCCCATGTCTCTGTCTTCCTGCCCCTCAAGAACAACTTACTTAAAGTCAACCTGTTTTTTTCCCTAATGGATGCGGTCGGTTCCAGGACCCGCACAGCATCATTTTCCTGTGTGACCTCCACATCCACTTCCCAGCTGGAGTCATCGATTCAATCCGGAAGCACTGCGTGGAAGGCAAGATGGCCTTCGCACCCATGGTCATGCGGCTGCACTGCGGCATGTCCCCACAGTGGCCTGATGGTAAGAGGGAGTGAAGCCTCTTTGGCTCAGTCCTTGGGGAATGGGGAAAGAAGGAAAGTGCCTGCCATTGCTAGGTTTGTTCCTGTGGTGCTGTTGAGGTGTGGAGCTTAAGGTACTTCCTGGACCACGTGGTGAGAGTGCATTGGACGTAGGATGGGGTTTAACAGTGTCAGGTAGCTGGAGTTTGAGATCAAAGAGCCATCAGAGCCCTTTATAAGACATTTATCCTGGTTGTCTCACAGGGCTTCCTACAGATTTGGGGACTTTGGGAACCCCTTCCTTTACTCCTTTCTGTCTGTTTCTCTCTTTTCTTAGGGAGCACAACCTGACCTGAGGAGAGCTGGTAGCCTAGGGGTGAGGGAAACCAACCCAAGTCATGGGGAGGAAAGTGGCACAGATCATCTGAGTGTAAGACCTTTAGAACAGAGGTGGTCATCCTGAGCCATCCAGGCACAGGGACGATCCTTTGAAGCTGGGACAGTCCAGGTACAATAGGTACTGTGCTGCCAGACAGGAGATGTGAGAGGCTTTGCTAACAAGTTCCGAGGACAGCCCATGCTGCCATCTGCAAGCCTTTCTCACTTCCCAGAGCTTCAAATATGGTTGGTCCTGCCTTGTGGCAGAGTTGACTCTACGGTGTCGACACTGTGCTAAAAGTAGCTTGATTCTTACTCCAGTAGCCATGATGGAGTCACCAATGGTTCACAGCACCAACATACCTGTACCTATTTTGTGCTCTTCTCAGGCTACTGGGAGGTGAATGGGTTTGGTCTCCTGGGCATCTACAAGTCTGACCTGGACAAGATTGGAGGCATGAACACAAAAGAGTTTCGGGACCGCTGGGGAGGAGAGGACTGGGAGCTCCTGGACAGGTAGGCCTCTATTGTCATCATCTATGCACTCAGGAGAGGAGACCTATTAGGTCCTGGAGGACCAATTACCACAGGAGTGGAGATCTGGGGAGAGTCAGGTGACTAATGCCACCATAAGCTTAGTCCTAACATGGCATGAGCTGGCCAGTTGTGACCAGTCCTGCTCTTGGGGGTGTATAAACACTCAGCAAGTGTCATTAGATACCTGCTTATGAATACGAGATTCCCTTGAGCTATTCTAGACTCTTCAGTTTGATTGCAGTCTCTTGGCAACAGCACAATTTAAAAGAGATTTCCTGGGGCTGAGCCATCCTGTATCTTTGTGATCAAGTTTTCCCTAAGTCAACCCTTCTCCTTTCTGCCAGGATCTTGCAGGCTGGGCTGGAAGTGGAGCGTCTCTCCCTGAGAAACTTTTTCCACTGGTTTCACTCGAAGCGGGGCATGTGGAACCGGCGCCAGCTGAAGACACTGTAACCTTCAACTCCAGAGCTGCTCAGCAGCACCGTCCACCATCTCGTCTTGACGTGCACTTTATCAGGGCGCACAGCCGAGCACACAGACTCTGCCTCTGCTTCCAGAGCCTTCCAATGGGATGGCACAGCCAAGGAAGGGATGGGCAAGCTAGAGGAGCAGGAGCTTCTCCTGCAAGCTGTTGTACCCAAGACATGGGATCCATGTCTTGCTGGGAAGGCATGCAAGGGAGATGTTGAGAAGTACTTGCGTTTTTTGCCATGCATTCTGGTGGATGATAAGGTGGGAGAGGTGCCATATCCCCTGTTGAGTCTTGCATGGTGCAAACCAAACAAACACAAATCATGGCTCAGCCCAGAATGGTTTATTTAGAGTAATGCAGCTTCACTTTTAATACTTGAATGAAAAAGGAAAAGACAAAAAAACAGCCCTCCCCATTTCCCCTCCTTTCCCATCTCTCCAGAATCCATGCTTTTGGACAGGGGACCAAAGTAAGTTCTCTGAACCGTATTGTGTCCACATGCCCATGTGCTGACTCAAGGAAATCTGGATGTGGAGGGGCTGATAGGCACTTTAGGCTGCTGGTGCTTAGGTGTTTCTCTGTGCTTTTCACTTTAGTCTTTATGAGAAACTGTGATCGTGCTCAGCATATTATGGGCCATGGATGGAGATGCAAGTACACTTCCCTTATGAGAGCCATATTTGCCTGCAGCTGGGCAAGGTGACAGGGGTTGATTTTGCAACTCCACTTAAATTATTGATCCACTGCCTGAGGATAGTGGAGGAGTTATACAGAGAAGCTAGGAGGGCATCTCAGGAGGAACTTTGCAGCCTTACCTGACAGACGTGTGTTTGTCCTAACGATATCAGGGAAACCCTAGCAAGGAAGAAGTGGCAATATTTTATTAGTTGAAATATTGTGATTTTGTCAGGAAAAGAGGAGACAGGGTATTCTGCTCTTTAAATCCTGTACATTATGCAGCATCTAAAGGTTAATTTAATAAGTTATGGCCTCACAGTTATGTCTTGTCATAGCTTGACTTTTATGTAAAGATTCTTGGTTGAAGAACCAGTACAGCTGTTGGTGCTTCAGCTCTGGAACAACCCTGGGAGCTCTGGTCCAGTACAGAGGAGGTGGCCTTAGGCCTTAGGATGTGCACTAGGTGCAAAGAACAGCAAGGACAGAGGAGGGTTGAGTGAATAAAAGGCTGGGCAGACCCATACTAGTGTTGATCACTAGATCACAATTGCGGAAAGAGCCCCTGTCCACAGCCAGCCTCATGCCTCATGGAATTCTCACCCCCTAAAACTCCTGTTTATGTAAGGCAAGAATTTCTACCCTTGTAAAAAGTTCTTCTTTAGTCTTGTAAAATAGTTACAAGTTATAGAAACCCAGAAATCCCAGCACACTCAGTGCTTTACACCATGCTGAAAAGGCTGCTATGCTACTGGTCTCAAGCTTCAGGGGAGAGCATGACATAGGATGCTGCTCAGGGCATCCAGCTCTCTTGGAAGCTGTTGAAAAGTGAGTAATGGAGGTGTGCAGGATACAAGCAATGCTGACATGGTACTAGAGTTGTTTGGCTTTTACACTGATGAAGTAGATGCCAATTCTGAATGGACATTCATTTATTAATAATTATGTGATGCTTGACAAGTCCGTCACTGCAGTCACTGCAGAAATAGTTTTCACTATTGCAGTAGAAAACTAAACATGCAAGTTCTGGCACGTGAGATAGAAATCTTGTCAAATCACCTGCTTGCCTCAGTCTGGGTTTTGTGACTGATGAGTCAGAGAAAGTCAACCGATTTCAGACAGTTTCACTGTGCAGCATGCAGCTATGGTGAGAGGTACACGAGAGATGGCTGTCTCTGGGTCCACAGAGCCTTTCTCAGAATACAGACTCTGGGTGTCTTAGAAGGGGCAGCCTCAGTCTTCTGCCCAAGTGAGTGTAGTCTTTTCATTGAGGAAAAGTATTTTCCCCATACAGAGACTAAGAAATGAAATGCTGCTGTTTGGGCAAGAGGGAAGGGCTGACAACAGTTAACAACTATTCATTTTTTTAATGTATTACAGGAGTTTGGGAGGCCAGAGCCCTGTGATGCAATGTTGCAGCGAGTCCCGTTCTGCCTGGAATGTGCAGTGTCAGTTGTGCTCTCGGTGCGTGTTGGAGCCTGTGCTTCACTCAAATGGAGGCACAGCCTCACCAGTGTGCAGGTGAGCTGCTCTCCAGGCTCCAGGACTGCACCTCCACAGCCTGCCTGGGCTGGCTCTGTCACGCAATCCCTGTGGAATGGGGAGAGGCTGGTGGGGGAGTGAGGCTTTAGCAGGACACAGCTGTTTGGCCCCATCAGGCAGACAATGGCATGATGCCCATTTTGCAGAGAGAAAGCTGATGGATTTGGTGGTGGCCCTTATGTCATGCACAGAGAGGAAGGGTTATTTGTACCAATCACAAATGTTCTTCCCTTTCTAACACAGTGAGGATTCTTAGTTGGTATTTAAGCATTGCTGTAGTAAATATGATTAATACTAATTGGCACTAGTTGGCAGCCTTCGTGGAGGAGCTTGGGGAAAGCCCATGGGGACATAAGCTATCTTCCAGCCCACATGCTCAGAGAGCACTGCAGGTTGTAGGGAGACAAGGGGCTACTCGCTCCCTGGCTTGCTAGCCAGCAGCAACTCTGAGGCCGCTGCCCCTCTTCCAAAACAACCTGCAGTTTTTCTCCCTAGGCACAGTCGTGAAGACGGGGAGAGCAGGGAGAGCAGGGTACCTGGCAGGAGCAGGCAGTCCTGCAGCCGTGCAGTGAAGGGACATGGCAATCCAAAGTGGTGGCCAGGCCACCATGGACCCTGGTCAGCAGCTGGTTCACCCCCTCACTAGTATTGCATGGGATGCACTACCACTGCAAGGAGGGCTTGTCTCTGGGTCTGGCACAGCTCTTGGGGAGCAAGAGGGAACCACAGTGGGGAAGCTGACTTCCCCCAACAGCTGATCTTGTTTCTGTCACCAGGATCTTCTTAGGAAGCTGTGTTGTGAGTTTGTAGTGAAGTTTGCCCCAATTTTCTGGCCTTGATGTGCATCCTGGCTGTGTCTGAATTTGTAGTGAAGTTTGCCCCGAGTTTCTGGCCTTGGTGTGCATCCTGGCTGTGTCCTGCCTCAATGGCAGGAGGAAATCGGTTGCATGGGTTTTCCTGTGCATCAGGCAGGCAGGAGAGAACTGGTCCAGTAGCTCACTGGCTGTGGACAGCTGGGCAGATGATGGGCCACACTGCAGAAGAGACCTTCCCTGGGGCAGGATAAGGCTAGGCTGGGGACCTTGGACTCCCAAGCACAAGATGCATGACCGGGGTGCTCTGCCCACAGATGCTGACTCTGTCTTTAGGACTGTGAATTTTGGTGCTGAGGCTTCTTTTGCCAGTCAGCAAAGGGAACAAAGAAGGATTGGCTTTTATTCTGAGAGATATGTTTTGTGTGAAAATTATGTGACTTGTTTTGTCATTGTCTTTAATGTTTGCCCAGTATGAACATCTCACCTCTTCTGGTTGCCTACAAATGTCTGAAGTTGGTTGTTTTTTACATACCAATGCCTTGTGTAAAAGTCTGAATTATGCCTTTGAATTATCTGCCTTAAAGTGGCTCTGTGCCTTTGAGATGATTTCTGGGCCACCTCTCTGTTAGAGCTGGGGGATATATGGTTTCTCCCCCACATTTTATAAATAAATTTTCTTCCTCCAAGAGTTTAGTTTTATCTGTGTGTCACTCACACCCACATCACCATGCAGAAGCTATTAGAAACCAGGTGTTGCGCCTCTGGTTTCATATAAGGGAAGGCATAGGCAGCACTGGAGAGACAGGTCACTCTCTGCCCAAGCCAGCACAGGCTCTGCAGTAAGAGGTGAGTGGGAGGTGCAGTGAGCAAGGTTATCCAGGAGCGAGACCTGTTTCAGTCCCCTCCAAGGCTGTAGAAAGTGTGATGGCAACAAAACAGTTTTTCTCCTGTTTTCCTGGGTTTATCACATGAAACAAGTTAGAAATGTTGGACAAATACATGTCCCAACAAAGCACAAATGTGATGTCATCACAGAGAAAGAATGCAGAGAACAAAGTTGTCCCTCTCACAAGCAGGGGACAACTCCTGGAGAAGACCGCAGGTGACAGCCTAGACCAGGGCTCAGCAGTTGGCACAGCCTACGCTAATGGGAGGTCAGCTCTTTCACAGCAACTGCTTATTTAGACTCCAATTTGGCTCCTTTTTGCTTCAACTGTAACTCCTTTGAGCATAAAAAGCTTGACAGGAATGGGAGTCAGACATGGAGAGGGAAAAAAGCAGCCAAGGTTGTTGAGTCTGATTCCATTATAATGAGAAATTATTATTAAAGATGATGAAGGAAAAGCATTTCAGCACGCTGCCAGTCTTCTGTCTGACTCCTGTCACCTGGGCTTGGTGACAGGAAGCCCTCTCTGCTTGGGCAGGCCTCACACGCTGCCATACCTGACCTGGCAGCTCTCTTGAAATGTTTGAGATGATTGAAATGAAGATCTGGCAATGAAATTCCCCTCATTTGCTTCTTTCCTAGCTGAAGATTTTTTTTCCTCTCTACATTCAGTCACCAATGCCTCCTGCCCTGTAAAGCAATGAGTCATGGGATTTGGGATATACATATGGGATGCATAATTTTTTACCTTTTCATGAACTCAGCTGGCCATTAGTGGCTGAAAGCCCTTAGCTGGTGGATTTGTGTTGGCTAGAACTAGTTTTGCTGCCTCTGCAGTGAAGCCTTTTTCTAGAGGAGAGCAGGATCATAAAGGCTTCCCAGAAACATTTTTCCCTGTTTGATGTTAGTCTCAGCAGAGACCAAGGACTGAGATAGATAAGCAGCAAATTCAGTGTCACTCCAGACCTGCCATCCCTCAAACTAAGTGGAGGATGAGTCTTGACCTGCTTCACCAACCAGATCTCAGTCTGCTCAGTGTTGCTGAGTTAAATTCTGGTAAATACATAACTGCTTCTTCCACCCTACCATTTCTATGCAATTTTCCTTCAGCTGCAAAAAAGCCACTGTCGTTTGCTGATACTAACTGATGCTGGCCCATAGCCTGACCCACCAGCCTTTGTGGACAAGATCATTCACACTGCCTCCAGAAAAAAGCACCACCTGTGATTTAAACAGAAATTTAGCTCCGTAAAGTCAAATATTGAGTACAAACAAAATCTGCCCATATCTGTTTTTTTAAAGTGTCGGACAATCCCAGTAGCTCCTGAAGACCAATATGTGGTCATTTTCATGACATTTCTTTCTCAGTGGTGGCAAGAATATGCAAAATGAAAAATCCAGGTTGAATTCTGATTCTGCCGTGCAATGAAAAATTCATTTAATAATCAAAAGCATGTCCTTAATTAAACAAGCTTACACCAGGGTATTAAAATATCATTTTTTACCGTAACTGCAGAGTTACAAGATTTAGGATCAAGAATTTTTACTGTTAAAAAAAGAAAAAAATCTGAAAAATCATTAATGATTTTTTTTTTAAAGAAACAAATAGTTCTAGTACAAAATAATTCCCAGCATTGTCAATATAAAAATGGTATATTTAAAAACATCTGTTAGTGATAAGGCCTTATATTACGATCATGATTTTTCAATAAAGTAATACACTATGCACCTGTCATTTTGCATGGTGGCATGAAGCCTAGAGTGTCTCCTTATGTATAATGTTTCTTCATTTTCTACTAAATATTGTCAGGCTTTTCTGACTTCATTCCTGATAGGTCCCTGGTGATGACACCAGGCCATAATATCTTTTTTCTGTCATTGTTCAATTTCCAATGCTAGAAATATATGATTGTTTTCTTAACTGTGTTATGTTTAATTTTAAACAACTAGGAAAACACTTGAACTAGTTGTAGTTTTACTTAGGTTTGACACACACACACTTTTCTATCTTCCCATGAGAACTTTTTTTTTAATTTGAGAAATCCATTCTAACATCTGGGAGGTAAACTATCAGATAACATTGCTTTAAGTATAGCAACTTACACTTGAGATAATAAAAAAAGCTAGACTTTTCTTGCTTATTTAGTCTATAAAGTAAATAACTTGGTCTTCTCTACAAAATGAGCCAATATTGAATATGTGAAGCAGGCAAGTAAAATAAGAGGCAAGATTTACAGGACTGTTTTGAAATTGTGTACCTGCTACCGTTCCTGCAGCTTTCTCAGGCCAAGTTTGCTCTAGCTTTGCAAGGCAATGTCTTCTCCCCTTCAGAACTGCAAAAGCATTATGGTAATGGGCTGGTATACCATGACACACAAACAGTTTTGAAAGTTTAACCCAAGTTTTCTCCAGATTCATTGATGGGCTACTGCTGAGGTCAGTGAAAATGTAGAGGAGGAGGAGAGCTTTCCCTGCCAGCTGCACTGCTCAGGTCCTGTAGGGAAGACAAAAAACACCAGTAAGGTCACAGCAGGCTCCTGCATGCTGCATGAGCAGAGAGGAACAGCCATGGCATATTGAGTCACTGGACACCACAGCCACGCTATGGGTGTTGGGTGCTGCTCTTTGGTGCTTGCACCCTTCTGGATGCCAAGCCAGCAGTGGTTTTATACAGCCTCTTGGCCTTTGTATCCTTCCCCCATCATACCATGCATCTCTCAAGCTTTCTTGCTGGCTGTTGCCCCAGTATATTGCATTAAACTATGTTCTCATGTTGCAGGTCATGTAAGCATGAGATGTCAGCTTTACTTCTTGACCTAAATCACTCTTGACCTAAAAAAATGTCATTCCTTCATTAACTTGACATGGGAACTCGAGCATTTGGCTGGACTCTTATTCTCAAGAGTGCATCTTGAAAATGAGAGCTAGGTTCTTAAAAAAGCCCTTGCTAAACCACGCTGGCTGTTGTGAAGAGCTCCTTCACCTCTGGCCTCATCAGCACCTTCCTTTTCTTCTGTTCAGATAATGCTGCCATCTTTGGGTACCTCCCAGAATGCACCTAGTTTTCTTTCCCAGATTTAGCTCCCATCCATAACTGCTATCCCTATCTAGCATGAGATTTGCAGCCTTCTAAAAACTTCTTGGTGCTGATAAATCCCGACAGTTGGGATGTTTGCTGTTCTTGCTTTAAAGACCAAGAAAGGAGAAATCCTCCTTCCCTGATGGAACTTACTCAATTGCCCCAGATGCTCATGGGACAACAACGTGTCTGTGGAAAGGCTTTATTAATTTATGAAGCTTTGTCTTCTCCTTCTCCACCTTGCAGTGATGTGTTGTGGTGAGCAGAGCCCGCCCTAGGCAGGGATTGGCGTGCGGAAGATCTCGCGATGTAACGGAAAGCTCAGACTGCCCACGAGGGGCCTTGTGGGTGTGGCTTGTCATATATAAGCAATTGCAGCGACGCAATAAACGCCATTTGCAGCATCCTTCACATTGAAGCCAGTGTCTGTGATGGTACCCAACGGCAGAGGTTGGGTGGCAGCTATCCCGGGGATCGGGTGTCGGTAATGACAGTGATGTTTTCTGAAACACAGCCCTTCCAGGGGCTGGCAGTGATGGGAACTCCCCCTTGCTTACCTGACTCCATTGCCTCATGACTTAATAAGGTCGAAAATTCCTGGTAGGGTAAAGGCCAGTCTTCTGCACCCCAAAGGCTGTGATGAAAATGTTGAGGATGACTGTGATGAAGATGAGAGCTGTTGCAGCATTGTTGAGTATATTCAGGCGGGGTTGCTTTGCGACATCATTCAGGTTCAAACGAGCTGTGTGATGCAATGAAAAAAGAAAGGGAGATCTGTAGATTGACTCTAAGTTCCCCAGCCCCTGGAAGCCTTCCCTGCCTAGCAAATGTCCATGGTGCCCCTGGGCACTGTGGCTATAGAACTAGGGTAAAAGTCCCAGGAACTTTACAGGGGTTACAGCTTGTCCTAGGACAACATAGGAGGATGGAGCAGAGGAAAACTATCTGTTCTTATGTCATGTCTTTGTTTGCCATGGAGTTGCCATGGCCCTCCAATGGAACAACCCGAAATAGCCAAATTACTGCTGCATGCTAGCCAGGCGTGTGCCACATGACCCTGCCACTGCATGGCCACAGTATATGGCAAGGGAAGGCTGGGTGGTAGCAGGGACAAGGTCAGCGACATTGTCCTCAGGTTGGGAAGCCAGTTCCTCCTTGACACTCAAATGTCATGTATGTGCTGACACAGCCATCAACCCCCTCCTTGCTCCCAGACCAAGAAGTATCTGGGTACAGGAATGGGGTCAGCCCTAACTGATGGGCGTTGATCAGTGCAGATACAGGCATGCCCCAGTTACTGGGGCTGTCTGGCCAATAAGCCATGTGAGTGGCAGCCTTGTGGCTCCCTGCCCACAGCTGTGGTCTCCCTTGCCTTCCTTCTCCTCACAGCTAGTGCCAGCCACCGTGGCCGCCACTGGGAAAGGCTGTGCCATGTGGGACAGGGGAAGGAACACATCACAGGATTTCCCATAGCCTTTGCTCCCATGTGCCAGCCAAGCCATGGGGTGCCCTGGCACACCCTCCCCACGGCACCCTATAAGCGTGCGTGCGCCTTGGTGGCCACCTTACCGGTGATGATGAGGAGAATCCCAATCATCACCTGGAAGAAGAGGGAGATGCTGATGAGCACGATGAGGGTGGCGTAGTACTGGAAGGAAGGCCCCTGCTCCAGCACCGCCTTGAGCTGTGTGACGTTTGCCATGAAGAGTGCCACGTCCAGCATGCTCTCCGCCACACTCTTCTTTGTCGCGTAGTGGTTGATGTTCATCGGCCCGTTGATCTGGAGGTGAGGATTCACGGCCTGGGGAGACAGGAGAAACCACATGAACTGGTACGATTTGTAAGTCGACAGACACGCCCATGTTGAACAGGCTGCTGCCTCCCCATGGGGCTTCTGAAAGAGTCAAAGGTGCATGTTTTAAACATATTGAGAGCACCCAATATCCCTTCACTGTAGCCTTGTGATATTAATAAGCACAAGATACTTGTGGTGATCAAGAACTCAGCAAGGTTAGAAAAATACAGGGCATTTTTGTGGAAAACAAGCTTGTCCGGAGTTACAGTAACGTAGATTACCCAGAGCTAGGGATTTTGCAAGGAATATTGAATTCTATTCCTTTAGGGCACAGACAAGCCTCAAACTTACAGGGGATTAGAGATCTTCTCTTTTGGTCGGGTGTTCAAAGGACTGTCAGCAGCTGGGCTTTGTATCTCCTCCAAACACTTTTTCCTGGCCAGTGTCTTAGATAAGATGCTAGAGCAGATGAGACAATCCACATTTTTGTTTCTGAAACCTGGGGCATTATTTCTCCATCGGGCACTGAAATGCACCAAGATAAGGACTAGGGTCCATCACACCGAGCTTTAACTAATCATTCAGGCACATTTTTTATTGCTGGCAAGAAACAGCTATTTACAAGGAGTAAACCACCTGGTTGCCCTGAACCTAATTGCAAGCTGTAGGTTATTTGGCTGCTTTTAGCCATTCACCTTTTCTCTATCTTTCTTGTTAAGTGAGTTCCTCTGTTGGCTGTCTTGACCCAAATGATGAAAAAAACCAAAAGACAGAAAAGAGGACTGTAGTTTTCAGTTCACCCACAGTGTCATCAGCTGGTGATAAACCACCAGCAAAGGCAACATTTACAAAATATTTGGATATACCTGCAGCAAGCTATGATCCTTTTCCTTAAAAAAAAGAAAAAAGAGAAAGAAAAACAACACTTTGACAATAGCAAAGAGCAGGAACCTTATCCTCCCTCACAGCACTGTCGGAGGGATAACCCTTTAAATCTGGAGATAAGGGCTAGCTGTGGGCCTGAGGTGACCTCAGAGTGGTGGAAGAGATTTCTCCAGGTGTATACTGGAAGTAGGACTGTCTACATCACATGGTAAGTCCTATTTTGGGCTTTCGTACTAGGTAAAGTACAAAATGTAATCTTTCCACCATGCTCTGGGCTTGACACTAGAAAAGAGTTATGGCTAGTGCTTCATGCTGCTGTTTCTGGTCTCCCTGGGTAAAAGTGGCTTTCTCTGTGCTGGGGTGGGAGTGTGAGCCAGCGATCCTGGGAGAGCACTGCATGTGGTTGTGTGACTGACACTGAAATTTGGGCTGATTTTTGGGGCAGGGTTGTGTTCTATATGAGCGAACACCCTCATGTCAGAAAGATGTGTTGTAAAAAAAGTGGTCAGGAAGGACTGTGTTCAGTTTGAACTACTGGTGAAATGTGATTCCTAAGAAGGGACCAGCTTGGGGTAGGAAAGTGCTTTTTGTTTGATTGGTTTGGTTTTTGTTGTTGGGGTTGGTTTTGTTTTGGATTTTTGATAGCTTAAAGCATGTAATTCTTGCAGTTTCTAATAATAAAGTTACTGTGGTTAAGAGGCTCCTTTGCAAAGCCTGTGTTTCTTGCTGTGGAAGTTAGAAGTGAAAAGTTAGTAGAAGAAGAAAGCTAGTAGTGACTCTGAGGCAGTACGTAGGGGTTCAGGACTTCTTAAACATTACTGTCTGGTGTCTGAGGCACAATAGAGGTGTCTCAGGCAAAGGAGGCCAGCAAGAGGTCTGACTGTGGGAGCATGTCTTACAAACCTAGATTTAGGTACTGCCCCCACTCATCTGGCTCATAAGCATGTGATGCTGTTGCAACAGAGTGGCACCCATACTGAGTGGTGCCAGGTTTGAGATTTTGAATCCTTTTGTGTGTTTTCTTCCTTATTCCTGAAGAGTCAGCCCCTCCTCCCTGCAGTGTCACAAGGCTGGGCATTGACAGTTTATCTTCACGTAATGATGGTTGAGTGTGAGAACAAGGACACTGTACAAGGAAGACAGAGCTTTTGTTAAATGAGTGACTAGTACAAAGAGGCTGAGACATCTGTTCCCAGTTGCTTATGTGGAGACAATCAGGAGCTCTTGTTGAGTGAAGACACATCTTCCAACACAACATCTTTTTTGAGCGGCCCCCAACCTCCTTTACCTGGAGCATGAAACAGGGCAGAGTTGCAATGTACTGAGCTATGTGTCCCAGATAATTGGGCAATGAAAACACACAGCCATGTGTTTTAGTGCAGTGGGATGTTCTCCTATTTGGGACATACTACCAGAAGGGACAGCCACCACTCACCGATATGGAGTCGCTGGATCTGGGAAAACCTTGCACTGAGATAAGAAAAACTGGTCCCCGTTTCAAAGTTCTGTCAGCCCAGGCTTAGTAGATACACAGAGGTGGCCAAAAGGTTACTGGATGATGAAAGCTGGACACCAAGCTTTCATGTTGGTAGCAAACGAATCAACCAGTTTGCAGAGGTCCTTAGGAGGTAGGAGTCCTTATGGTGCCAGCTCAAGTTAGAGAAATCAAGCTCCTCTACAGATTTAGCCCTTGTAGAATATTGGCTAGACCAGCAGCTATATATGAAAGCCTGGAGTTTCAAATAACAAGAGGCTTAAATAAAGCAGGAGTCTCCAGAGACACACTGTTTTGATTAACGCAGGAGGATGGCTTTGCATGGGATGCCTGGTGCCAGAGCTGCCACCACCTAGTCACTGCATCCGTGGGGTATGAGCTGCCACTCTCTTTTTTTGAGCTGCCACAATGGATGCACAGCTCTTCAAAGTGACACTTTTTGCTTTGTCTTAAAGTTTAGTTTTGTAAACTGCCGTGGCTCAGGAACCTGACTCACAAGCAGCTCGGGTTTCCATGCAGCAGGACTGCCCAGTCAGCTGTGGGGGTTACGTGGCATCACTGGGGAGATTAAATGATTCTCTTTTGGCAAACAGAGCCCTAAGTCACAGGATGTACCTGAAGGTTCATCAGAGCGATTTATGTCATCAGGCTAGAGCTGGTGTCTTTCCAGTCCCTTTGAAAGTGTTTCCCTTCTTGAGAGGGGGGATTGCTGCCTTTTCTTCTCTGTATTGCATCAAAAAGAAGAACCCTGGATCTGACAGTCAGACACCAAGTCTATCTTTCAAGAGTTGCTGAAGAGCCAGCATATCCACTGGAAAACTGCACTTACAGCCCAAGATGGGAATGTCTCAATACTGCCCACTTTTTAAAGATAGATAAATTAGGACTTGAAATCAAGTACAGCCTGGCTACACAACAGCACTGGCTTAACTGGTGCTGGAGCATGGTTCCCATGCCCCATTTCTGGACGTTTTGGCTTTCTACAAGAGTCAGCTTCTTTGCCTGCAAAGACTACTGACTTCAGTCTGACCACAGGCAAATCCCCTTTCTGCTTCTCTCCATGTCAAAGTGGCACAGCAGTGAAGTTCATTACAGGAGCTCTCTGAGGCACCCATCTACGTTTTACAAGTCCTAGGCTTTGTTCTTACTCAAAGCACACATGCTCCCATCCCTCACCCACCCACTCCACTCACCCCAGATATTTAAATCTCACTTCTTTTGTTATTTTTAATTTTGGTAGGAATTCTTAAAGAAGGATGAATATCATCACAAGCATGGGGTGTTTGTTGTTGTTGGGGTTGTGGGGTTTTTTTTGTTTTGTTTTAGTTGGTGGTTTTTGGTGTGTTGTTTGGTTTCTGTTTGTTTGTTTGTTTTTATTTTCTTTTTCAACTTGATCTCCGATTTTGCTGTAGGTAGCTGGCAGGTCCCAAAGCATGTGAAACCTGGCTCTGGCAGCAGAGGGCATGGTGAGCTCCACAGCTCACTGAAGCTACCTGAAAAATTTCCACTGAAACTAGTTTCCAAGGGAAATCCTTTGAGTTTTATTGTGCATTTATTTTTACAAGAAATAGCTACTATATTCTGGAAACTTTTGGAGGGTGATTATCTAAATATTTCTTTCCAAAGCTTTCAGATTTTGGCCTGAGTGGAGCGCAGAGCTTTGTTAAAGCTACTTGAACCATTTCTACGAAACCTACAGTTGTCCTGTTTTTCAGGACAGAAAAAAAAGAATTGCAGAGCAGATCTAATTGCAAATCTGTGGGTCTGGTGACCCTATCCCCAGGGGAAAAGAGCCTGAAAGAGACAGTGGGACAGCAGGAGTCTCACAAGTATGAGAATGCTAATCCTCTTCATGGGAGTGCTCTGGCAGAGGGAGATGTCTGAAGAGAAACTGTATCATTGGCCATCAATTCCAAGGGAAATGCTGGAGGATGCCAAAGAAAATAGATACATGAATGCACGCCGTGCACTCGGAGGGGTAGGTGCGGAGACACCCATCACAGGGATCCCAGCTGTTAAACAGCCAGCCACACACAGGCATGCACACACGCAGCATCAGGGACCAGGGAAAATCCAGGGTATTTTTCCACAGTATTTGCCAGTTGGCAGCTTTAGAAGTACTTTGTAAACATCAGATTATGGAGGCTAAAGCACACAGAGAGTCATCATCTTGCAAGGTGTGAGAGAAGCACAGCTCCCTTTCTACAGGCAGAAAGTGCAGGGATTAAAGGCTCTGCTCTCAATCAATACTTCTGCTTTTAAGTGCACAGTTATTAGGTACTCTGCTTTTCCAGGGCAGCTCACTCCCTGCAGCTCCTGGCCACTTCCCCTGGGGTGAAGGGAGCCCGTTTTAACGTTTGTGGCCTAGGTGCCGTGCCTGGGCAGAGCCGGCGTCAGCACGGGCCCTGGGAGCAGCCGCGATGACCTGCTCTCTGGCCTGCCCCCCTCCCCGGTGGCTCAGGCTGCCCTTGCAGAACCACTCTTGTCAGCCAGCAGGTGAAGCAGCAGGTCTGTGCACAGCCACACGTGTGCAAGGGGAGGGACGCGCAGGGAAGGCTTCGGTCAATACCGACCGTGTCACCAGCTGTGTAAGTGGCAAAGGCTGTCTCTCTCCCCTGTGGCACAA